AAATTCAATTAAAAGAATAAATTAAATTACAGGACCATCCTTTTGAAATTAGGGGTATTACAAGCACCTAAACAATGGTATGAAAATTTTGACAAAGTGTTGTTGTCAAATGGTTTTAAAATTAATGAGTGTGATAAATGTGTTTATGTAAAAAACACTCAAAATGGATATGTCATTGTGTGCGTAAATGTGGATGATATGCTAATAATGGGTAGTAATGATGTTATAATCAAAACTACTAAAAAGATGTTGACCAAAAATTTCGATATGAAAGATTTAGGCATAGCTGATGTCATACTAGGAATCAAGATTTCTAGAACATCAGATGGTCTAGTGTTATCTCAATCTCACTATATTGAGAAAATATTAGAAATGTTTAATAAGGAAGATAATAGTCTTGTAAAGATTCCTATTGATGTAAATCTTCATTTAGTGAAAAATACTGGTCCAAGCATATCACAACTTGAGTATTCTCGCATTATAGGAAGCTTAATGTATTTGATGAATTGCACACGACTAGACATAACATACTCAGTTAATAAATTGAGTAGGCATACAAGTAATCCAGGAAAGAACCATTGGACTGCAATAATCAGGGTTCTAAGGTATTTAAGATATATCATAAGTTATGGATTACATTATTCTAGATATTCAGTAGTACTTGAATGATACAGTGATGCTAATTGGATATCAAATACGAAGGATTCTAAATCCACAAGTGGCTATGTCTTTATTATTGGAGGAGGTGCCATATCTTGGAAATCTTCAAAACAAACTTGTATTGCCAGATCCATTATGGAATCTGAATTTATTGCTTTGGATAAAGCTGGTGAAGAAGCTAAGGGCTTCGTAATTTCTTAGAAGATATTCCAAATAGGTCTAAACCTGTGCTCGTTATATGTATACATTGCGATAGTCAATCAGCAATTGGAAGGACACAAAGTAATATGTATAACGCTAAGTCTCGACATATACGTCAACGACATAATACCGTTAGACAATTGCTCTCAAGTGGGATATTCTCAATAGATTATATCAGGTTAAAAGATAATTTAGCGGATCCGTTTACAAAATATTTAACAAGAGAGCAAGTGTATAGTTCATCGAGAGGAATGGGACTAAACCCGAAAGCTAACGAGTCATCTTAATGGAAACCCAACCTAGTTAACTGGAGATCCCAAGATCTAGGTTCAAAGGGACAACAGAAATTCTGAATGGCTCACCAGAAGCACTGAGAAGATTTAATTTTTTACCCATTTCTATGATGAGACAGTGCTACCTACAGCAATGAGTAGGATAAGCTATGCTTTTAATGACTCTTATACCTTGAAAATTCAAGTGGGGTATAATAGGATACTTTTAATAAGAAGTTACCTATATGAATGTGAAGTGGGGCCGCTTTTATAAAAGCTTATAAGGCTAAGTTTTCTAAAGCGCTCATGAAATACCAGGAGTTGTTCAGGGCCATATGAATACAACTGTGAGAACCGACTTTGTGCAGGATGGAACTGTGTGTTTGCTATTGTCTTGGTTTACATCAATGGTTGAATAGTTCAAGACATCATGTTCATTGATTAGCTAGTAAATCCGATAGTAATACACTAGGGAAGGTTCAAGGCCAAAAGCTACCTATCCCGATATAGTAACTTTCCAATAATACTCTCTCTAGTGTCTATATCTTTTTCATTTGTATTTTACGCAAATTTCCATTTATGTGGGGGATTGTTGGAAACGGGGCATTAAAAACATAAACTTTGGATGAGATTTGGAATAGATTCCGCTAAGAATTTTTTGCGGATCTCTAGAACGAGCGCGTTTCTCTCCGCAAGGAGATGAATGTGGTATATTTACTTTCTCAAATCCGTTTATGGGTGAATGAGAAATTAGCTCAAAAGTGTGGTGTTTTGATAAGCCTAAATGGGTATGCAAAATGTGGGAAGTGTTTGTCCCACATGGAAAATATGTTGAAACCAATTGAAATTTAAATAAGCCAAATTTGGGATTTGGGCTTGGGCTTGGGCTTGGGCCTGGGCCTAATTGTAAAGTCCGATTATTCTTTTTACTAAATGAAATTTTGGATTGGCCTTTCTTTTTGGGTTGAGCTTATTTAAATAGGTGATTGATTTTTGAATTTAAATTAAAAGTTAGTTTTTTTTTTTTTAAAGGGTTGAATATAGTTTTTTTTTTTAAAAGGGTTGCATCTATTTCCAAAGAGTTACATCTATTTTCCAAAGAGTTGCATCTGTTTCTAAAGGGATGCAACTTGTGATGAACCAACATGACCCATGGTGGCACCCATACCCAAAAAGGCACATTGTTTCCTATAAATACCCCCTTTAGGGTTATTTGCAAACACACCAAAATTCAGAGAATTCTTTTCTTCTTCTGAATTTTCTTCTTCCTCATTCTCTCTTTAGTCTGTTGGTTCGAGCCTTAGTCAGTCACTCCGAGTCCGAGTCCGAGTTCGAGTCAGAAAGTACTACATCGAGCCGGTTTGCCTATTCCTTTGGTCTGTAGTACTACTACCAAAGGTAGACAAGTCGTTATATCTTGGGAGATAAACGCCACTGAGTCCGTTAGCACCATAGCTGGACAAATCTATCTTAAGGATATAGAATAAAATTCTAGCCTCGACTTTTAATCAGGTTCCTTTATTTATAATTTTTATTTTATTTTATTAAACTATATATTATAAGTAATTACTCACCGGATTTGGTGTTTCCGGTGATCTCCAGCCCTTTGATGGAGTCTCACAGCGCCGGACTCCGCCGTGTTCTGGTGCTTGCCTTCTGCATCACCGGCATTTGGTCAACTTATATATACCAAGGAGTTCTTCAAGAGACCGTGTAATTTTCCTTTTCATTAGTTTCAATTATTCAAACCGACACGTCTTCTTCTTTCATATATAAATATTATATTTTTACATAATATTTAAATAAATAGTACTATATATATGGTATACTTGGACCATATTTTGGAAAACAAACCCTTCCTTAGTGAGTAAACATGTTTATGCATTTAATGTTAAAAGTTAGGTCACTACGTAGGCGCTCTCTCTCTCTCAAGCTCTTAATTGAATTGCACAGGGTATTGGTTCCTTTTATACCCCTAATTATACCTCAATATACAGAAAAATCTTATGAACTTTCAGTTTTGCGTTAAACCCCCTTGTATTTTTCTATATTTTACAAATTACCCCTTCTGTTAGATTGTCATTTTAACCTTCTGACCTTTTGCAAAAAACCAACCCATTGAACAGCTTTTGAGTAAAAAACCCTTGTCACCTTTCATAATTGTGCAAAATGCCCCTAAAGTCAGATGGCCTTTTAAGTCTTCATTAATTTATAATATAAATTTACCAGTAAGTCCTACTTTTTTCTATTTTATATGTAGATATACATATTTCTCTATGTGTTGAATTTCATGATCAACCTTTCAATATCTAGAGTGATAAAAAGATGAATAAGAAAAAACAATGCTAACATCCTGAGCCGCTAAATTAAAAAAGATTATTATTATTATTATTATTTTGTCACGTTAGTTATATTGTGATATTATATTTTTGTGACTAAGACAACAACATATAATTTTGTTTTAGTATTTTTTTTCTTTTTGTATTTTTCTTTCTTGTCAACATTTTGAATTCATGAATTAGCAAGGGATGCTCATTCAGTCATCACAAATGCTACATGACAAGTTAGAAAACTCTACCAGCAAACAGACGAACAATGGATTTAGAAGACTCTTCCAATGGTTTGTAGTAATTAAAATAGTAAGAGGCAATACTCAATTTTTAAAGAACAATTTACGTAACTGTAGTTTGATTTCCCAAGAATAAAATAATCTACGCTCTCAAACAATTTACCAAGCAAGCCGAAAATTCCTTGCTTTGATCATGGATATATGAGGGTTATAGAGGATGAAACCAAAAGTACAAACATCAACAAATAAATCATTTTGAAGACAAAACAAGAAGATTCCTCGTTATTCGTCTTATCTTAGATACATTTAAAGAATGTGGAAGTCCATCTTTATGGGAGAAAAATTCCTTGGACCAGTTGTACAGTGCAACGAGCACATCGGACCGTTTATTACTATGCGTGCAATACACGCACGGGCACGTGTTTTCCACGGACGGTTCGGATGCGCCCTTCGGCCGTTGCACTGTGCAATGGGCAGAAGGAGGTTTTTCTCATCCATGGGATCATAGATGACATTTTTTCTTTGTTTTTTTTTTGGTGGTAAGAAATCAATCATATCCCACCAGTGTTAATGACCTTCAAAAACAATTTGCCTTCCTTTAGATATCTAAAACTCACTCAAAATTTTTAAAAGTGAGCTCTAAGGATTTTTACTGTTCACCATAACAATCAAATGGCCCAATAATAAGTGGATGCAATAAATGCTGTTTCAGGACATTGCTTGAAATCAAATCCAGAAATCCATTACCTAATTCTTCTATCTGCTTTTCAGATATATTGCAGCACTCTACCCCTAGACCTGCCACAGTTTCAACATGAGAAACACAGTCATCTTTCATAGGTAAGTGTCGAAATTCCAAGTCATTGCAAAAATTTAAATTCTAAATTTTTTAAACAATAAGCCAAGCACAAGACTCGCTAATACAAAGACTTGGAGTCAAGTATTTGCCAAAAATAAATAAATAAGACGAAGAAGAAGACTTGGAGTCAAGTTCTAACCCAAAAAAATAGACTTGGAATGAAGTTCATATATGCCAGAATACAGTAGTTATGGGTCAACCCCAGCTCTATTTTAAAACCACCACCTGCTACAATAGTTCTTCACTTCGTCTTCCCTTGTTGCCTAAATATGAGGTTTCCTCTATTCCCATGGTTTTTCTTGATCACCACACACTTGATCTTTATCACTCCAGTATACGCCCAATGTTTAGACCATCACAAAACTTTGTTGCTCCAGTTAAAGAATAGCCTCATATTCAACTCTTCATATTCAACCAAGCTGGTGCTCTGGAACCATAAATGGATTGTTGCGAGTGGAGTGGTGTAACATGCGACAATATGGGTCGTGTTATTGGTCTCGACTTAAGCGATGAATCAATCTCTGGCGGAATCCACAACTCAAGTAGCCTTTTCAATCTCAAGTATCTTCAAAGTTTGAATCTTGCTAAAAACAGCTTCGGCTCTTGGCAAATTTCATCTGGGTTTGAGAAGCTAACTAGTTTGACATATATGAATTTGTCATATGCAGACTTGACAGGACAATTTCCTATTGGGATTTCAGGTTTGACAAGGTCGGTCTCTCTGGATTTCTCTGGGAATTACTACTTAAAACTTGGCAACTCAAATCTAAAATTGCTTGTTCAGAATCTCACGGAGCTCACAGAACTCCGTCTTGATGGTGTAAATATATCGTCCAAGGGAGAGGAATGGTGCCAAGCCATATCTTCTTCACTCCCTAATCTGCGAGTCTTGAGCTTTTCTTCCTGTGATCTCTCAGGTCCTCTTTGTTCTTCCCTTGAGAATCTCCGATCCCTTTCGGTGATCGATCTGAGTCAAAACAATTTGTCCGCCCCAGTTCCAAATTTCTTTGCAAACTTCACCAATTTGACAGAATTACTTCTCTGGTATTCTAATTTGCAGGGAACATTTCCGGAAAACATCTTCCATGTGCCAACTCTACATAAACTTGACTTATCAGACAATATATTACTTCAGGGTTCTTTTCCAGAATTTTTCCAGAATGGATCTCTCCAGACCTTAATTCTTAGCCACACAAATTTTTCTGGGATATTACCAAATTCTATTGGTAATCTTCAGATGTTGTCCACGATAGATGTTCAGAATTGCAACTTAACTGGAGCAATCCCAAGTTCAATGGCAAACCTTACTCAACTTGTTTATTTGGATTTGTCATACAATATGTTTATTGGTCCAACCCCATCATTTTCGAAGAACCTCTCCTACATAGACTTATCCCATAATCATTTAACGGGAACAGTTCCTTCCACCCACTTTGAAGGCCTATTGAATCTTGTTATGATTAATTTAAGTCAAAATTCACTCAATGGAAGCATTCCGTCATCTCTTTTAGAACTCCCATCGCTGAAAAAAATTTATCTCGAGTTTAACCAATTTGATGGTCAAGTTGATGAATTTTCTAATGCTTCCTCCTCTCTACTAGAGGTCATCAATCTGAGTAGTAACAATTTACAGGGGGCAACATCATTAGGAAACTTGAAGAAGCTCGAATCACTTGATCTTTCGCGAAACAAGTTGACTGGGATGATCCCAACACAACTTGCAAGTCTTACATTTCTTTCAGTTTTGAATGTGTCATACAATCTTTTGGTTGGAAGAATTCCGACAGGTTCTCAGTTTCAAACATTCTCAGAAGCATCATTTCTAGGGAATCCAGGACTATGCGGCTTCGCTTTGAACACAAGTTGCAGTGATAGTAAAGTTGCACCAAATTTCGAAGATGGGCATTCAACCTCGGAGTCAGAGGTCTACCTAAGTGCAGCATTGGGATTTATTGTGGGCTTAGGAATTATCATCTGGCCACTTGTGTTCTGTAGAAGATGGAGACGATGGTACTACAAACATGTGGATCGAGTGTTTCTAAGAAGAATAATACAGAGAAGAGTGTACAGAAATTCAATTCGACAGCTTTAGTTGGTGAAGAGAAGTGAATAAAGTGAAGTGCTTGTGATAAACTCGAAGTCTTGGCTTGAGTCATTCTAGTGGATGGAGAGTAAGATCAACTATCAAAGCATATGGTAAGCTTTCAATTCATTGTTTAATAATAGAAAGGTATTTAATTGTTGTTGTTTTCATATAGATATATATTGCACTATCTAATAATTGCCGAGATGTTTGAGATGTTAATCCTATAACATATAGTTTATTTTGAAATTTGTTGCAATTTGTTTAATATAATCCCTAAAATGTACTCTTGCTTTATAGCCTTATAGGGTTTGAAGTTTGAACTGCTTGCAGGGCTTTTCAATTCAATGGGAGTAGGAATTTCTTTTTCTTTCTTTCTTTCCTTTTTTGGTGGTTGTTTAGGTAAGCATCAAACACTTATTAATCTGAATTCACAAGGAAGCTATAAAAGGAAAAAGGAAAAGGAATCAAAGATATGAAAATGAAATGCTGATGATCTGAAATCATTTTGAAGCGTGAATTCTCTACTGTATGACGCGAAGTTGTATGGTAGGTGACTCACACAGGTGGTTATATGGTAAAAACCTATGCACCTAAATTTTAATTGTAGATTTTCTTCTTTAATCTCTTGCCATACGGGTTGGGTTTAATTTTATATTTGTGTTTTGAGATTGGGGCGTCTTACAGATGGGTATGTTGCTTTATGGATGTTGGGTCATCAATTACTTTGTAACACACACACACACACACGTGTGTGTGTGTGTGTGTGTATATATATGAACCCAACAACACTCCTGAGCAACAGACTCATTTACCATGTTGCTGGGTTCATTTCTCACAAGCACTTTGTAATTATACAATATACTATAATGATTGTCTTTAAATATGTATTACACTATATATTTTTCTTGGATGTGTAGTGGAACTCTCATTTTCATTTTCATTGTCACTCCTAAATTTAAATATATAGTCTATTTGATGGAAATTGCAACTTTAGCATATAGGTATGAAAAATTGAGGTAAAAAGAATGGACAAATTGGTTCTAAAATTAATAGACAAAACTATTAATTTAAATATAGAGTCTATTTGATGGAAATTGCAACTTTAGCACATATTTAATAGAAATTGAGGTAAAAAGAATGGACAAATTGGTTCTAAAATTAATAGACAAAACTATTAACTGTTACTTTTCCCATTGAAAAACAACTACTGATAGCGATTTGGTGTTGTTCGCGCAAGCTCGCGTGCTCAATTATATTTTTCAAAATTTTAGAATGAAAGGTAGAAATACTTTTAATGGGCAGGAATTGGGTACTTGAAATTATAATGGGCTGAACTGAAATATGGAATGGGCTTGGGTTTTGATTTTAAAGTGAATAAAATTTTGGATTATCTTGGGCTTGATTAAAGATGACTAAATAGTCAACTGGGCTAATCTAATATTTCATGGACTCAAAGGACATTTTATATATATATATATATATATATATATATATATATATATATATTCCCTTAATCAAAGGAGGAGTGGAACATAGAGATGTTTGAACTCGGTTTGTTTAATAAACCGGAGCATACACTAAATTTTTTACTTTTTGTTTTACTTAGTTTGGTACTCTTACACCCATGCTTTTACCGAGGTTTGAATCTCTAACTTTCTTTTAAAAAGTAAGGACTTGGTACCGTTGAGCCACTGACTCATTGATACTAAATCTTGAATCTTTCATATATACCTTTAATTACCCTTGGTACATTAGATATAAAATTTAGACTCAAACTTCATATTTACCCTTACAAAATTCAAAATAAAATTGAATTTAAAAATACATTTATTAATGTTTTTTTATAAAATAATTAATCTTTTGCACTACAATCTTGTATTTTACACGAGAGTTTTTGAATTGAATTTAAATTAAATTAATTATTATTTAAACTCATAATGCAATATTAGTAACTAAAACTTAAAGGAATATATAACAAAATAGATTTACATATCAATTCTTAAATAAATTTATAATTACATATTGTACTTCAATTTACTAAGGGTATACATGGAAAATGTAGTGGTTTAGAACTTAAACAGAAATAGAAAAACTCAAAAGTAGAACTTATTGGTACTAAAGAAATTTTTTTTTGGACAATTTGTCATTAGAAAGGTAGGACTTGATAGTAATTATTTCAAATTACTATAGTAAAAATCAATTTCACCACCAGGGATACTTCGGTAATTTTACATTACAAGTTAAGGGAAACCGGATTGCCATTTAATAGGAGAAGATTTTTATAATTTCTACGGAGGTTATTTGGGTCAACAATAGGGGGTTATTTGTGTCATCTCTCAGGTCCTCTTTGTTCTTCCCTTGGGAATCTCTGATCCCATTCGGTGATCAATCCGAGTGAGAACAATTTGTCTTCCCCAATTTCAAATTTCTTTGCAAACTTCACCAAATTGACAGAACTACATCTCATTGATTCTAATTTGCAAGAACATTTCCGGAAAACATCTTCCACGTACCAATCTTACGTACACTTGCCGTAGGGGTCAATGAATTACTTCCAAGATGGATCTCTTCAGATCTGATTCTTCGGTACACAAATTTTTCCGGTGATAGTGATGATGAAGAAGAAAGAAAAATTACACTTTAGTCTTTTTAACATTGACGCAAGTAAAAGTGTTCGATAAACACGTTACCTTGAGTTTTTTGAATTCACAAAAAATATAATTCAGCGAAATCTAATATATTATTTGATAATTAAACCGATTCTGATTTCTGTATTATACATATTTATAATGAAAGAAAACTCTAGTCCACTAACTGCAACTTGAATCCTTATAACATAAAGAAACCTAATCCAGGAATGATACTAATATCCGAAAATAAGTCTAAAAAATAAAATTTCTTATAAAAATTCTAAAAAAGTAGAGAAAGAAACCTAATAAAATAAAATTACTAAATATAAAATATGAATGCAATTCAAGTTCGTTTAGATATCGAACAAAAATTCTGAAATATTTGAGAGGCTTCTTTTGGACCAAAAATGCCCCGTTTTAAGGCCATGAAAGATGGTATTTCGCCGAAAAGTATATTACGTCACAGCATAGTAGTGAGTCTTGTTTATTGGGTCGTTTTCAGTAAAAAAAAAAACTCTCATGTCGTGTTAAAAATGCACACTTTGGGATCAGCCCAAAAAATTTGTCAACATATCCATTTCGCCCCCTGGCGGTCCAAACAGGTGATAAAAGCTTCAGCCATCAATTTTACATCAAACATTCAAGTCCCTATTTGCTCCGAAATTGAATGTTCGATAATTTTTAGAATGTATAGAGTTATACACTCTATATACATATCGATGACAGGAGTATTTTTTCCTCGTGACCAATGGACAAAATATTGTGAGCTTGAACTCGATTTTTCTTAGGCGATGCAAGAAAGAAAAAACAGTTGTAATGGAACTCTTATTTTCAATTCTATTGTCATTCTTAAATTTAAGAGTAAATTATAATGACACCTGTGAGCTTTTTTGCATTGTCAATATATATAGTTTATGTTTAGAGTAATATTTGCCGCGCCCTAACTATTTTCTTTTTATCACTTCAGTCAAAAATAAAAATGAGTTTTTTCAAATCATTAATTTTTCTTTGACAACTTTTTTTTTTTTGACAAAGTTTTTTAAAAAAAATTATAAAAGTTTCATTGATTTGTATACATGGTCCGACTGTTTTGACCCATTTGTACTTTATTGTCCGAATCCATTTGGCTACCTAGGTTCCTCTTCGTTCTTTCTCTCTCCTCATCTAGTTCATCCATTTTTCTCTCTCCGGTTCTCTGTTTCTCTCTTCGATTTGGCAAATTCTAATGGGATTCTCTCATGCTTGATGTTTATGGGAAGATATATGGGTCTTTTTTAACTAAAATTTTAAGCCTTTTGGATGAGATGAGGAGAAAAGACTAGGGTTTGATGAGTTTAATTGCAGCACCGTGCATGATATCTGCTTGCTTGTGTTAGGGTTTTTTACTGAATTCCATACTATGATTTGTAAGGTTTTTTTATTTTAATTTTAATTTTAATTTTAATTTTAATTTTTTTAATAAAGTTCCAATAAATTCAATTATAATAAAATAATTGAATTTTGATTGGAATAATTTATGAATTTCCCAAAACTCTTGGCAATTTCTATGATTATTTGGATTTGATTCATTCTGCCTTATCCATAACAACCACCCTCTGAATACCACCAAGCAACCTGTATATATAACTAAGAGAGAACCCGGAAAATTGCTATTGCCGCAATTCCATGCTTAGGTGATATATACAACAACCACCCTTTGGAGTGCAGAAGAGATTACAATCAGGATGAATAAACAACTCCAAATAAAACATAATGTTGAATGGAGTTAATTAATTTCTGTCCTTGTTAGAAAAAGTTGGACAAATTTACTACTAAGTCCTACTATATATATTATACTGAATTTCGTGACCAAGCTTTCACTATCTAGAGTGACAAAGATGAATAAGAAAAAGTAATGCTACATCCTGGGAGGCTTAATTGAAAAAGATATATATATATATATATATATATATATATATATATATATATATATTTTTTTTTTTTTTGTCGCATTTGTTATATTGTGATATTATATTATTGTGTCTGAGACAACAACATACATCTTATTTTAGTTTTTTTTCTTTTTGTCATTTAGTTCTTTCCTGTCAACATTTTGAACTCTTGAATTAGAAGGGATACTCATTAAGTTATCACAAATGCTAAATGACAAGTTAGAAAACTCTACCAGCAAATAGACGAACAATGGATTTAGAAGACTCTTCCAATGGTTTGTAGTAATTAAAATTGTTAAGAGGCAATACTCAATTTTTAAAGAACAATTTACTTAACTGTAGTTTGATTTCCTAATAATAAAATCATCTACGCTCTCAAACAATTTAGCAAGTAAGCCCAAAGTTCGTTACTTTGATCATGGACATATGAGGGTTATATTTCTTCTGCTGAGGATGGAACGAAAAGTACAAACATAAACAAATAAATGATTTTAAAGACAAAACAAGAAACTTCCTTGTTATTCGTCTTATCTTAGATGAAGTGTTCGAAAATGATTGCAATAGATCTAAACTTTAACACTGTTTAGCATAGAATGATTGATTTATCACTATCAATTTGATAAGTCCAATTTCTTACACCAGTTATACAAGAAAGAAATGTAGTTTCTGAAGAGTTTGATGGCAAAAATTATATCGACAAACTGTAGTTATCCAAAGTTTAATTTGGAGTCAAGCTATTGTTTTATGCCAGAAGTCAAATTAATATGTCACCCCAGCTCCATCTTAAAGTCACTGCCCATAACAGTAACTCTTTCACTTCAACTTCACTTGTTGCCTAAAAATGAGGTTTCCGATCTTTCCATGGTTTTTTCTTGATCACCACATTCTCAATCTTCTGTATTACTATCATTCCAGCTGACAGCCAATGTTTAGACCATCAGAAAACTTTGTTGCTCCTGTTAAAGGACAACCTCGAATTCAATTCTCCTTTTTCAACCAAGCTGCGGCTCTGGGATCCTAGTACGGATTGTTGTGAGTGGGGTGGCGTAACGTGCGATGATATGGGTCATGTTGTTGGTCTAGACTTGAGCAATGAATCAATCTCTGGATGAATCCGCAATTCAAGTACTCTTTTCAGTCTCAACTATCTTCAAAGTCTGAATCTTGCTAATAACACCTTCAGCTCTTGGCAAATTTCTTCTGGGTTTGACATATTTGAATTTGTAATATGTGGGCTTGAGAGGGCGTGTCACGCCCCCGAATTTTTTTAATAAAATCTTCAAATACATCAAAATACACCTAGGATTAAAAAAAAAAAAAATACCCTCTTTTATACCAATCAATTTCCTCAAATACACAAAAAAATCTTCAAATAATAACAACAAAACTCGCAACGACGACTATTCAGCCTAAGTCCGAATCTAGCAATCCCCGTTCATCTTCGGTACTTAAAATTAGAGGGTGGTGAGACAAAAAATCCCAATAAAAAAAACCATAACAAGAATTTTATGGAGATTTAATAAAACAGCTTCACAAAACATACATAATCGTATATTGACAAAATAAATATGTATTTAATCAAAATATTTAATCAAAATATTTGATAAAATCATTTGAGGCAAAACCGTCTCATGCCATTCAAGGTATAGAGAACCCTACACTGAAAAAAAGTTATTTCTCAACACTTCAAGCACCAGCCTACTCTGCAACTCAACTCACTCTGTATTTTTCCTCAAACTCTCGACCCTCACTACTCACTCTATCTTTCTCGGCTCACTCTCTGTATACACTCTTTGATTCTCTAATTTATCTGTCTTTCAACTGACTTAGTGGCACACAACACACATTAAATAAGCAAATTACACCGACCCAATTCCACCATCAGCTCAAAACCCACGTGCACAATTTAAGTCCACGTAATCTTTGCCGAAAAACAAATCAACTATCACTTACTACTCCACGTTTATGGGTTAGAGTCAAAAAAAGTGAGTCTGCCAAGATCTCATCTCATCAACCTGCTCCTTCTGCTTCTTATCCCTCTTTCTCTTCAACCTCAGCCCACCACACAAAACAATTACACGCTGCAATAAAATAATTGAGCCCATTTCTCTCTCCTTCTCATCACCATACAATGTACTCCATTCCTAAAAACCAGACCAAACCCACGTGAAGCCCACAAACTCTTTGCCAAACAAATCAGTTGGTGGGTCCCGCCACTACTTTTCTTTCTTCTTTTCCCCTCCAAATCTCGTGTATCAGCTCATTGCTTCTTAACAGACAAAATAAATATATATATAATATAATACATAAACATAAAACAAAAATCAAAACCCATGGCAAATGGGACCCGCCAAAAATCTCACCTTATCAATTTCTCATTTCTCTAATTTCGTCCCAAGTGCATTCCTTTGCATCAGGTGCAATATGTACATGTATCTTTTATATATATACCATCGCAATAAAACAATTCAAAACCCCTCATTAATGAAACCCACATAACAACACGGTCTCATTATTTTCCTATTTAAATTTCGGCAACTACCTTGCGTCCTTAAAATGCTACACACAAAAATATATACAATGTAACAAAAATCCAAATTCACTAAACTGAGTCTTCAATTTAAAATTAAATAAAATCACTAAAAATTATAAAATAAATTAAAATTTAAAAAAATTCGAATTATCACTGGGCGATTTCCTATTGGAATTTCGCACTTGACAATGCAAGAACAAAGATGCTATGACATCATTGTCAGAAAACCAAGGTAAGAGCTTGGACTGTGCCATATTTATATATATATATATATATATATATATATAACCACCGCGAAGGCTCTCATTGGATTTCTCTCAGAACTACTACTTGGAACTTGAGAACTCAGATCTAAAATTGCTTGTTCAGAATCTCACGAAGATCACAGAACTCCATCTTGATGGTGTATATATATCATCCATGGGAGAGGAATGGTGCAAAATCATATCTTCTTCACTACCTTGTCTTCAAGTCTTGAGCTTGTCACGGTGTCATCTCTCAGGTCCTCTTTGCTCTTCTCTTGAGAATCTCCAGTCAATTTCGGTGATTAATTTGAGTGAGAACTATTTGTCTGCCCCAGTTCCAAATTTCTTTGCAAACTTCACCAATTTGACAGAATTATATCTCACGGATTCTAATTTGCAAGGAACATTTCCAGAAAACATCTTCCACGTACCAACTCTACGTAAGCTTGACTTAGGGGTCAATGACTTATTTCATGGTTATTTTCCAGAATTTTCCCAGAATGGAGCTCTCCAGACCTTGATTCTTCGCTACACAAATTTTTCCGGGGGATTACCAAGTTCTATTGGTAACCTTCGGATGTTGTCCGTGATATATGTTTTTAATTGTAGCTTCACTGGACCAATCCCAGGTTCATTTGCAAACCTTACTCAACTTGTTCTTTTGGATTTGGCTTACAACATGTTTACTGGTCCAATTCCATCATTTTCGAAGAATCTCTCCATCATATACTTGGACCATAATTCACTCAGTGGAACCATTCCATCATCTCTTTTGAATATTCCATCGCTGACACAAATTGATCTTTCATTTAACAAATTTGATGGTCAAGTTGATGAAATTTCTAATGCTTCCTCCTCTCTACTAGAGTTCATCTATTTGGGAAGTAACCATTTACAAGGGTCGGTTCCCATGTCTTTCTTTGAACTCAGAAGGCTTACTGTCCTTGTACTCAATTTCAACAACTTCAGTGGTTCAATACAACTGGAAAATTTTTATAGGCTGCGCAATCTTTCCCTCATTGACCTTTCATACAACAGCTTGTCAATCCATACAAGTAGTGGCAGTGGTTCAAGCTTGTCTTCGATCCCCCAGTTTGAAGCATTATATTTGGCTTCTGGCAAGTTGGAAAGTTTTCCCGATCTAAAGAACCAATCAGTACTGGCTGAGTTGGACCTTTCTGACAACCAAATTTGGGAAGTTGGTAATGGAATATTCTATCACTTGAATCTCTCTCACAATCTCCTGTCTTATTTTCAAGTACCCTATTTTGTTCAAGCTTTCCTTGGTCTCCTTGACCTACACTCTGACCAGTTCCATGGGAAAATCCCAATACCAGGAATATTTGCTGAATACATGGACTTCTCAAGCAATAGTTTCAGCTCTTCTATCCCTCCTACTATTGGTAATTTCCTCACCAATGCTTATTTCTTCTCTCTTTCAAATAATAGCATCATCGGAAACATTCCTCACTCAATATGCAATACAAAATACCTTCAAGTTCTAGATTTATCTAATAATGTTTTGAATGGCACAATACCATCATGTTTGATCAAAAGGAGTACTAGTACTCTTGGAGTACTGAATCTGCAAAATAACATATTTAGTGGAAAAGTTCTGAGTTTGTTTCCCAACAACTGTAGTCTACAGACATTGGATCTCAGTGGTAATCTTTTGGAAAGGCGGGTTCCGAAATCATTGTCAAACTGCAGAAGGATGGAAGTTTTAAACGGTAAGAAATTTGTCTAAAATTCATTTATGACATAGCAAAAATCTATTCGTTACAGAAATGTGGTAGTTAAGCTTCCAAATTAGCTTCCAAAGGAAGCTTTGAAATTCTTGGGCAGCAAGAATTATTCTTGGGCAACAAGTGCTATTTGGCTTCCAAATGAAGCTTTGTAATATACTTGGACACCAAGTATACTTGGACACCAAGTATATTCTTGGCTATAAATAGCCTTGCACTCATTTGATGAAAGGCATTCGAGAGGCATTTAAGAGTAAGACAATATTCGGATCAAGAGAGTATATTGGTGTTATGTGTGTGAGAAAATCCTTTTGTGTGTACAATCTTCAAGAGAGAGTTGAAGTTTGTATTTTGGTGTGTTTTTCTCTTTGTGTAAACCATATACTATTTTGGGTATTTCTTGAGTGTTGAGTGAGTCTTCTTTGTTGATTGAGTGAGTGGTGTGAGAAGAAAGATTATTGTGAGGAAGAACCAAAACGTTCTTTAGTTTGTAATCTTTTTCTTTATAGTGATACGAATCATCATCGTCCATGAACGTAACCCTATTTGTGAGGGTGAACCACGTATAAATCATTGTCTCGTTTGTGTGTGTCTATTTATTTTCTTGTCATTATTTTTTCTATTATTCTCATAAACTCCTATTCGATCCTTATTTCATAACAAATTAGTATCAGCGTTTTTGGGGAGTTTTTTGAGATGTCGACAAAATACATGATTGAGAAATTTGATGGCAAGATTAGTTTCAGTCTTTGGCACATTAAGATGCAGGCCCTGCTCACTCAATAAGGTTTTGGCAAAAGAAGAGTTAGAAAGAGGAGTTACGATCCTAATTCTCAAAAGGGTTGTGAGGGGACTACACAACGTGGTAGGATAATGAAATCCGTTTTCAGATGGCAACCGAAATTGCAGCAGTCCTTACAGGGAGGCAGACCCATGAGGACAGGTGTGATATTGACTTGCAATAATCTTGGTGGCAATGATAGTCCATTCAAGTGCTATTAAGATGTGTGGGAGGCAAGTAGTTGGTCACAACAGAGATGTGAGGAAAAGTCAAGGTCGTCCTAATCTCCACAAGGGTGAGAAGATGACTTTCCATTACCAACCGGTGGTTTGTGGGCGGTTGCTAAAGGTTGCTGAAGGAGATGTCAAATTTCGAATTTTTTAGGTTGCTTTTGGTAAGCATTTAGAGCTTGACACAAATACTAGAGGTATGCTTATAGCTGCACAGGTATGCATGGGTTGAAGAATTAGAGCCCGAGGGTTAAGTTTGAGTATGACTCAAACTTAACTAAAATTCTTTATTAATTTGTTTTGTGTTGGAGATGATGATGACGTTATTTTTATTACTCACATTGCGTTGAAGAAAGACTCTTTATGATGTTGTCTTATCATTTCTGCTAAGGCGGAGAAATTTTGCCAAGGATGGAATTTTATGGTTCATTCAAAAATTTTGCCAAGGTGGAGAATTTTAGTCAAGGTGGAGATTTGTTATAAATTTGTCTAAAATTCATTTATGATATGGCAAAAATCTATTGGCTACAGAAATATGATAGTGAAGCTTCCAAATTAGCTTCCAAAGGAAGCTTTGAAATTCTTGGGCAGCAAGAATTATTCTTAGGCAACAAGTGCTATTTGGCTTCCAAAGGAAGCTTTGTAATATACTTGGATACCAAGTATATTCTTGGCTATAAATAGCCTTGTACTCATTTGATGAAAGGCATCCGAGAGACATCCAAGAGTAAGACAATATTCGGATCAAGAGAGTATATTGGTTTTGTGTGTGTATGAGAAAATCCTTTTGTGTGTACAATCTTCAAGAGAGAGTTGAAGTTTGTATTTGGGTGGGTTTTTCTCTTTGTGTAAACCATATACTATTTGGGGTATTTCTTGAGTGTTGAGTGAGTCTTCTTTGTTGATTGAGTGAGTAGTGTGAGAAGAGAGATTATTGTGAGGAAGAACCAAAACGTTCTTCAATTTGTAATCTTTTTCTTTATAGTGATACTAATCATCATCGTCCGTGGACGTAACCCTATTTGTGAGGGTGAATCACATATAAATCCTTGTCTCGTTTGTATGTGCCTATTTATTTTCTTGTCATTATTTTTTCTCTTATTCTCATAAACTCCTATTCGATCCTTGTTTCATAACATAAACCTTGGTAAGAATATGATAACTGATAGGTTTCCATGCTTTTTGGAAAACATATCTAGTCTACATGTTTTAGTTTTGCGTTCTAATAGGATTCATGGAGACATTAATTGCCAAGGGAAAATTAATGTAAGCTGGTGGAATCTTCATATCATTGACCTAGCTTTCAACAACTTTGGCGGCAATCTACCATCAAGTTATTTCTCAAATTTAAAGGCAATGATGATTGATAATGATAATGCACAACCAAAGTTAATTAATTTGGGTTATCTGTTAAAAGATTCTTTTAGAAATGTTTTTAGGTATTATTCAAATCAAGTGAAGGTCACCTACAAAGGAAAAGAGGTAGAGTGGGTGAAAGTTTTAACTATCTTTACATACATTGATTTTTCAAGCAATGTATTTGAAAGGGAAATACCAGATACTATTGGAAATCTCACATCACTAGTTCTTTTTAACTTATCACACAGCGATCTCAAAGGCTCAATTCTAACATCATTAGGAAACTTGAAGAAGCTCGAGTCATTAGACCTTTCACAGAACATGCTGACAGGGATGATCCCGACACAACTTGCAAGTCTTACATTTCTCTCACTCTTGAATGTGTCATACAATCTTTTGGTTGGAAGAATTCTGACAGGTTCCCAGTTTCAAACATTCTCAGAAACATCATTTCTAGGGAATCCAGGACTATGCGACTTCCCTTTGAACACGAGTTGCAATAATATTGCTGAAGATTCACCACCAATATTCGGAGATGGGCATTCAATCTTGGAGACAGAGGTCTACCTAAGTGCAGCATTGGGATTTATCGTGGGGTTAGGAATCATCATCTGGCCACTTGTGTTCTGTAGAAGATGGAGACAATGGTACTACAAACATGTGGATCAAGTTTTTCTGAGAAGAATAATAGAGAGACGAGCTTACAGAAATCCAATTCGAATGCTTGGTGGGTGAAGAGAAGTGGATAAACTTGAATTCTTAGCTTGAGTCATTCCAATTGAGAGTAAAATCAATGATCAAAGCATATGGTAAGCTTGCAATTAATTGTGTAATAATAGTAAGCTATTTAGTTGAAGTTGTTTTAATATATTTTATTTTGACATTTGTTTTAGTTTGTTTGATATAATCCCTGAATCGTACTGTTGCTTTAAAGGGTTTGAACTACATGCAGGGCTATTCAGTTTATTAGGGGTAGTAAATAGAAATATGAAAATGAAATGCTGTTGATCTAAAAATTATCTTCTGTGCATATGTGGTAAGAATTTTTTATTTTTCGTCCACACCGGGTTTGAGCCCCTCCCCTCTTCTTTAAGAATAGATAGGTTATACCGTTGGGCTAGATACCCGTTAGTGAGGTAAAAACTTATTCTCCTAAATTGTGATCATAAATTTTCTTCTTGTTATATTGGTTAAACCATAATTTCCTTTCAAATTGAAGCCATTGAGAAAATATATATATATATATATATATATATATATATATATATATATATATATGGGCTAACTATGGACAAAATATTGTGAGCTTGGACTTGATTGTCCAGTGGGGTTGGGGTTAGTGCCTTAGGTAGAATTTGGAATGCCAGGCTTATACTCTTTGCACCTATTAATCTAAATTCTAACCCTTCTTACCTTGGTAATGGAACTTTCATTTTCAATTTCATTGTCATTCTTAAATGTAAGGGTAAATTACATTGACACCCTAGCCATACTGATAGTTTTATACAAGTTAGGTCTATTTTTGAAGAGTAACAGTCTCTCAGGTTTGGTAAACTTAACTATGACCAACTCTATAACCTGACCATAATACCCTTTAACTTATGATTTGACCTATTTAAATCATAAAATTATAATTTTGACTTCCATCTCTACAAATGCACCTCACCCAATTTCACTCTCTATGGATAACTATATATATATAAACATTGATTATAAATATGAACAATCCTAAATTAATATGATTTGGCTCCAAACGAATCGACAGTGCTTCAACTCCGAGAAAGAATAAGAAAGAAAGGGACCTATAACATTAAAAAAAAAAAAAAAAAAAAAAAAAAAAAAAAAATGGATATCCTAAAACAAGAATTGCAAAAAAAGCGACAGAGATTAGCCCAAGACGTCTGCAGAAAAATTTCTTCAAGCGCTCCAAGATTGAACAAAAGCAACCCCAAAGGCTTCATGAAGAAGAGAAGCCCGAATCAGAGGTAAAATTCCACCAAAACCAAAACTCATTTCTCAATTCCTCATTAAACTCTAGCTCCAACAACGAAACCTCCAAATCCAAGAACAAATTGGTCAATGCTTCATTTTTCAAAGCCCTAACCGATGAACAGAAGATGACAAACTCAACCTCCTAAAACACCATCACCAGATGTATATTTCGAATCTCCACTATTCGATGTTCTTCTACCAATTTTTCAGACCAGTTGGTCTCCAATTCGGTTAGCGTCGATGTGTCTGGGTTTCAATCGCTTGTGGAGTCCTTGTCCTTCCTCTCTTGCCTCGATATCTCCAGCAAGACCCTCCATTCCTTACCGCATCATAACACCTCGTCCGCCATCACTGCCACCATCATTGGACCACATTGTCCACCATCACCACAACGCCAAATGGGGGGTCTGATTAGGTGGTGTTAGTTTGACTTTAGGGTTTTGAGTTAGAAATTAGTCGTTGTTGATGGTGGTAAGAGGTTGAAAGGTGGTAGCAATTAGGTGGGGTGGGGGGAGGTTGGGTTGAGATAACATACCATCGCGATCTATTAGAGTTTTGGGTTAGAAATTGGTTGTTGTTGTTGTTTTGGGGAAGAAGATGGATTAAGAGTTTTATATATTACCCTTAGTCCATCCTCTTC